ATAAAGAGCATTTCACCAGATGCATCCATTCCAGAATGAACTGTGAAGGATCTACGAAAGATGTGACGACTACTGAGTGGCTTCAAATCAATATCATTACCATTCTGAAAAAGAATATTCAAAACTTATTAGCACACTTTTAGGTTATGTTTTTTATTCTATAGTTGTTCGATATGTTATCAAACAATTCAAAGTATGTACTACATTATACTAGAAGGAAAACACAATTTTTAAATGAATCATCAATGTACATAAATATTTCAAAAATCATAATTTGACTATACATACATTATAATCTACGAAATATCTACTGAATGTAATCAAAAACACCGTATACTTCAGGATAATGAAACTTGTACATAAAGCAGTTTATATAATACTCTCAGCTAGATGCTGTAACTTATCAGTATGGATAAATAAATTTTCCTATCTATAAAATGATACTTACAAGTGTATCGACATGGTCAAGAAGTTCATTAACTTCTGCACTGTATATAAGCCCAATATGGCTCTTTCCAAGCAACCGTCGTACTTTTCTTTTTATGTCATTTTTATTGACATTAGTCATCACCATATAGGCCACAAGATTGTACAGTAGCGTTGAAAGAAGACGATCTTCTTCATGCTCTAATCTTTTCTGGTCCATCGTAGACAGTGATTTGTACCTAATATTGTATACCATATTTTCTCTCAACAAAAATGTTAAATTCAGATTTTTATTCAAACACAGAGAACTATAATAATTAAACTGTATATCTACATACATTGTAACTCATATCTCCGCATTACCGTTTGTTATGCTCTATTTAAGTTACTAAATTTTTTAATGTAATCAACCTTAAACAGTATAAATACTATTTTTGCAATTTGAAATTTCATTATACTTTCATCAAATATATCAAACTTAACTGTTGAAACATTTTCCCAATGAATTAAATGGTAGATACCAGTAACTATATCATAATGTTAAAGAATATCAAAACTAACACTGATTAATCCTCTATTGCAAATTGTAATGTACAGGTGACAAATCTACCTTTGATGCCTAATACACTTACAAATGTTTCAATTCCATAGTTGAATACTCTTACTTCCAGTTAACAGTCTAAATAAACCATGGAATTATTTCTGTTGGTTCCTCAATTTAACAATGTTACTTCTAGGTAATGTACCAATTTATAACTTACCCAAATATATTTCATAAAAACGTTTCTTGTGAACTATAGACTTATTTAAGTAAGAAATTCAAAGGCAAAAATTTTCCACCATATTTTCATAATGCATGCAATAGAGAGTTAACAAGTATTCTTTTAAATATTCCTTCTTGTCTTAGTTTTGTCTTGTCTGACTCTATTATGAATGGTTTTTAATAGGGATTAGAGTTTTAATAGTATAAATAATCTAAACCTTTAAAAACAGAATTGTATAAGTATAATAAGTTAATCTCACCTACTAACTAAATATTGTTACTCTGCATTTCAATAAATTTCAGTAAATGTTTTTTTTTTTTTTTTTT